AGTCCCCAAAGTTGCTCCAATCGCAACACAAATCCTGTCACGTTAACATTACACCTCTGACAAAACCCCACTTATCAATCCTCGTCAATAGGATGATAAGTCCCCAAAGTTGCGATTGGAATAGGATGATAAGTCCCCAAAGTTGCTCCAATCGCAACACAAATCCTGTCACGTTAACATTACACCTCCTGACACAACCCACTTATCAATCCCCGTCAATAGGATGATAAGTCCACAAAGTTGCTCAAATCACTCGTCAAGTTAACACCACACCTCTGACGACCAAATCAACTTATCGACTCTCTCCAATTGAGCGATAAGTTCTCAAAATTGCTTCCATAGCAATATCTTTCTTGTCACGTTAACACTACACCTCTGACAAAATCCGCTTATCGACTCTCTTCAATGGAGCGATAGGTCCACAAACTCGTCAAGTTAACACCACACCTCTGACGACCAAATCAACTTATCGACTCTCTTCAATAGAACGATAGGTCCATAAAATACTGTTATGTTAACATAACACCTCTAACAGTCAACCCCCCCAATGAACTTGTTAATTCTTTCGGTGTTTCAAGCTACACAGGAAGAAATGACACCAAAAATCCATGCCTTCACGCATGGGGGACTTTATCTTGATCCCTAATTAGAGATAAGTCTACGCCTAACACGCGTTGCCGGTTAATCTTTCGCAGTGAAAAAGACACCAGGATTCATGCCTGGGGGAATCTATCTCGATCCCTAATTAGAGATAAGTCTGCATCTAACACATACTGCCGGGTAGCCTATTCCCACAATAATAGCAAAGCCTACGTATTCAATATCGTAGCAGGTCGTTATTAATAATGCCAAAATCCATGCCTTACACGCATGGGGAATTTTATCCTGAATCCTAAGTAAGGATAAGTCAATGTCTAACACATGTTGCCGGGTAGCCTATTCCCGTAATAAGGACATCAAAATCCATGCCTCACACGCATGGGGGACTTTATCTTGATCCCTAAATAGAGATAAGTCTACGCCTAACACGCGTTGCCGGTTAGTCTTTTCCCGTCAAAATGACAAAGTCTATGTATTCAAAATCATAGCATCAAGACTAAGAGAGTTCATTCTCTTAGCACAACGTTACATGTGGAACGGACCTAGATAATTCACATGCTAGCCCGACTCAAACGGTAATCGGTAAAGGCTTATCAAATCCGTTGATGGCTGAGGGTTTGCCAAAAATCCTACGCACATTTGCAGGCCCATCAGCTTAATAGATGTGAGTCGAGACTTAAAACAGATGCGCCAAAGACAAGTCTCAAAGACTTAAGGCTTATCAAATCCGTTGATGGCTAAGGATTTGCCAAAAATCCTATACACGTTTGCAGGTCCATCAGCTTAATGGATGTGAGCCGAGACTTAAGACAGATGCGCCAAAGACAAGTCTCAAAGACTTAGTCAAAAATGCACGGAAGCCACTCTTATGTCTTAAGTCAAAACGTTGAGGTCAGCGATGCAAAAACCGAACGCCGAGGTCACACTCGCATTCCAAATTCAACATGCAAAGGTGAAACCCGCATCTCAAGTTCAAAATGCAGGGTCCACCCCCACATTCCAGAAGCAGGATTATGGCGCATACCTTCACACAGGTCCTGCATGGAAAATCCCTTCAACCAAGCTACCTTCGAAGCGAGTGCAGAGAACAACTCATTTGTGACAAAAAATCAACAGCTCCAAGATCAGAGTTGAGATCCAAAGTATTCCAAAAATTCGTCCCAGTCAACCGCGAACTTTCGAAAACTTTGGAGGGGGTTCTGTAGGCTGTCTAAAAATCACAATAGATAGTTGATCCCCCATCAAACACCGATGATGGAAGTTACAATCTGACGACTTCCAGAAGGCTACAATTTGAGGACTTTCACATAGAAGGCTACAATCTGACGACCTTCACAACAACTAATGAAGGCCCCAATTCAACAGCCTTCACAATCAACATCGGGAGTTACAATCTGACGACTCTCATATTTACAAGAAGCCAAGACGAAGATCACAAGAGGACGATCTGTGCAAAGTTCTAGCAAAAGAGACTACAAATTGACGGTCTCTTCATATTAGAATGCAGATATCTCTCAAACCGTAAGGAATTTGGCAAAACGGAGGAAGCGAACCGAAGCCTTCGGCTAGGTTCGGATGGCCCCGTCTCGTCGAGATAGCCGATTTTCATATGTAATTCGTCCAATTCCGACGTACGGTTTGAAAGTTATGACCTGTTCTTCATAGCAAATTATGTTCTGAAGTCCGTCTGCAAGACCGGACTTCGTCAGAACATTGGACTTAGCTTGAAGCTCGCCAAGCCCGCCTAAGGTTCGCCTCTGCATTACAGAGTCAAAGCGCACATGCTCAACTCTGCGTTTTCAACATCAAAACGCAGAGTTAATCTCTAAAACAGCATGAACTGTGCGTTTTCAGCCTAAAACAGGCTAAACGCAGAGTTCATCTCTAAAACAGCACAAACTGTGCGTTTTCAGCCTTTAAACAGGCCAACTGTGCGTTTACAGGCCAACTGTGCGTTTATGGGCTCAACTGTGCGTTTACAGCACGAATTGTGCGTTTTCAGCCAACTCTGCGTCTCAGAGTTCATCACGCTGCGTGGCCAGTGCGTTCAGCCACCAGAATAGGCCCAACTCTGCGTTTTTAGTCTAAAAACGCAGAGTTCGGGCCCTGAACGCTATTTTTCAGCGTTTGACTCGTTCAAAGCACGCAGTGAACAGTTCCAGGAACTGTTTTTCCCCACGATTTGAGGGATTTTCGCCCCACTTAAGAGCGGATTAAGGGGGTAGTTACCACCCTTAATCCCCTATAAATAGGGGAAAACTCAACTGAGTTCGGGTTGGAGGTTGGAGAGGGCTTTTTGGCTTTTTGGCTCTGGGCTCTGGGATCCTTCTTTTTGGGCAGCAAAGGAGAGATCTTCGGCTAACTTTGGAAGGGAATGGCTAGCTTGGTGGAGACCAACAACAGGAGCTTCTTCCTTGGCTTATTAACCGAACTTTCGGTTCAAATCAACTCTTTTTCAAGAGTTCAAACTCGTTCAGAGTTATCAACTCGATCAGAGTTCAAAACTTGCTCTGCAAGTTCTTCTAAAACTCGTCAGAGTTATCAACTCGATCAGAGTTCAAAACTTGCTCTACAAGTTCTTCTAAAACTCGTTCAGAGTCATCAACTCGTTAAGAGTTATTTTCAAACTTGCCACGCAAGTTCTCCACAGCGTCAAATCGTGAGGAGAAGACATCGTTCCAGTGAATCAAGACGTTCGGATCGTCAACGAGAAGCAAACTCGACGCGAGCATTCGAGGGAGGCATCTCATCGCCACCGTGAAGAACCCAGAATTAAACAAAGGGGAGAATCAAATTCATTCTCCTCTCTTTTGTAATCGGAATCCAAATTGTAATTGATTTTGAGAGGAATACAAGTCAAATTTTTCTTTCATTATTTCTTTTACTACAAATTTCCAACAAACAAGCCTGAATATATATAATATATGCTCAGCTTGAGGGGGAGTATTGTGAGTTATTATGTTGAGTTTATCATATTTAAACCCACATTGCTTAGAGACAAACTACTTTGTAATGCTTAATCTACTAGTAAGACTTGTGAGGCGAGAGCCAGAATTTCCTCTCTTATTACTATTTTCAACATTTTAAAGGACAAATTTTCAAAAGAGACCTTTTTGATTTTTTATTTGTAAAAAACAACTCATTTTCAAAATATTTGTAAAAACCGACCTGGTTTCAGCCTCAGCGCTGAAACCAGGTCGGTTTTTGAAAAAAAGTTTCCGAAACTTCACGGGAGTTGAACTCCCGTGAAGTTTAGCAACTTTTAATTAAGCTGCTAAACTTTACGGGAGTTCAACTCCCGTGAAGTTTCACAGTTCAATTTTTTTTTTTTAACTGTGAAACTTCACGGGAGTTGAACTCCCGTAAAGTTTAGCAGCTTAATTAAAAGTTGCTAAACTTCACGGGAGTTCAACTCCCGTGAAGTTTCGGAATTTTTTTTTCAAAAACCGACCTGGTTTCAGCGCTGAGGCTGAAACCAGGTCGGTTTTTGCAAATATCCTAGAAACAGGTCGTTTTTTACAAATAAAAGCTGAAATGGGACGGTTTTGAAAATTTGTCCACATTTTAAACCAAAATAATTTGTAATAACCTCTTCGGACATCTTTGGACAGTTAGCTGCGTCACGACGCACTGGAATTTGATTTGTTGCTGATGAAAGATCAGCAGTAACAGTAGTTTGGTAAGTATTGTATAGCTAGTTTTGGTATTGGGAATTCTTGTTTTTCTTAATCACCCAAAATGTGTGAGAGATTGATCATCCGTTGAGGGCTGGTTCATGTTTGACAAAAACCGTATCAGATTCTAGGCCAAAGTTTGCCTCTTAAACCAGTTTTGTTCTGGTCTGCCCCAGGTTTTCTAAACACATCCTTAATTTGCTCGAAATAAACTGTACATACCAGCAATTTATTACTGATTATATCCTATGAACAATATGCTACGCTCATCCTGGTTAATAATTAATATCCTAAATAATCTAAAAGACGTTTCCAAACCGTTCACCACTGCAACAAGTTTTCTCAAAGAAATTTGTCTCAGGCATCAGAAAATATACACTAGCTGCTATTTAGCTTGTACCCATTTTGTTTGAACTGGACTGGGCAAAATGGAGGGCTCATCACTTGGTAAACAACTTTTTTTGTGTCTGCCTTTGCTTTCTAAAATCATCATATATATGGGCAAACGCCAACTACTAAAGTCTACACAAATACATGCCAGATTGAAAGTTACAATATTACTTTCCATATACCATTGTTTTCTAGATTTTAATTGACATTATCAAACTTTTGATTAATATTTTAAGTTATCAAATTTAATATCAATACACACAAGCAGATAGGATTCATTAGCATTCGTGTTGTCTTTTTACTGAATGAAATACAACGCCAACAACTACATGAATATTGTGTAAAACAACTACAAATAAATTCCAATAAAATCAATATAACATTTGATACAACACCAACAAGTTAAAAAAAATAAAATAAAAAAATACCAAACATGTTATAGCTAGAAGCCATTTATTGGTTCCTCTATAAATAAATACCTCCATCTCATCTCTCCCCTCCCCTCTCCAATCCCTCCATTCAATCCTCACTCACACAGCAATCCTTTTCCTTCCGCCTCTCTTTTATAAACTCAACAAAGAAGAAGGTAAATACATAAAAATCACCATAAGCAAATTTTATTTAAGTGTAAGGAGCCGGAATGGGGAGACCAGCGACGGAGCCGCAGAGCAACGTCTCAGGGAGCATGTTGTACTCATCCCTCAGGGATCGTGCAGTGTTGAGGACACTGATGTACATCTGCTGGCCAAGGTAGCGCCGCTCCCAGAGCTCAGACCGGAAGTTCCACATGCCAACATTGTCGAAGGAGGTCATGATCGCCGTCCATGATTTCGGGTACACCTGTATCGTGTGCCTGCTCACCGCGTCGAGGAGATTGTAGGTGCTCCTCTTCTCCGGTGCCCAGGTTCCTCCTCCCATCCTACATTCATAAAGACACAGAGAACAGGAGTTTTGAATTTGAATTTGATTTTGGCGGGTAAAAAACTTGCACAAAAAAAAAAAAAAAGGTTAGTGATTTATTACCCAACGGCAAAGAAAGAGTAACCATCCAAGTGAAAGAAGTTGGGGCTCCTCTCAGCATTCTCAATGATGATCTCGATGTAAGTCCGATGCTCAGCATTCAAAACATTGGGAGCAATCGCAGTAATCTCTCCTCCCCCGGCCTTAGGCGCCTCATCCTTCATTCAAGTCTACTTGAACTCTTTGCCCGTCGCAGGCCCATACAGTGACTGCAAGGAGCTTGAAGGGGGTCGTGGTACTCGACATGCGAGCCTATGCCGGTTGCGAACGCCGCTGACCTTTTCTCGTCCCTTCGAATGTACGCACCCTGCGACGTTACCTCTCGCATCGTTCTCGTATGTTGAATGGCCCGTATGTTGGTATGAACCTTGTGGGTTGGGACCGGCGCGGCGCTTGCTGTTAGGTTGCCAGCGGAACGACCGCACGACCATTCCCAGCCGTTGGGAGCCTTGGGGAGCTCTGTCGACGGAGGGGTGTTGGAACCCGCGTAACGGATAATGCCAGTAGCGGAGAGATCGTATTTCACGAACCGTGTCGATGCGACCATGTAATAGTCCATCGGTTTCTGCTCGGCCTTCACCAGAACTGACAGGCATTGGCCGACGTGAACGTCCAGGGATTCGTATGCGTTCTGGACGGTGTGAGACCCGTCCATTTCGACCAGAATCATGGAATGTCCCTGAATCCTGAAATTGAGAGAGGTTTTTATACCGACGTTGCAGATACGGTATCGGTATGTTTTGCCGGCTTCCATAGTGAAGAGGGGGTTCTTGTCGTCCTTGCCGGACTTGCCGTTGATCAGGATGCCTGCAGGTTTGGCGATGCTGCGGCCCTTGTCGAGGATACTGGCGAGCGAGTCGTGGCTCTTTGTGTACCTGTTAAGAATATAACAAGAATTGAGAGAAGTTGATGTGGTTTAATTAAAAAGGGTATAGCGTATATTTATAGTACCAGTCGCCAATGATGACGGTGTAGTCATCGGCTGGGCCGTCGAATGGGGACCGGGGATGAGGAGCACAGGGTGCTTGATGTCGGAGGCCGCTCGAAGCCTCGGCAGCCCTTCTGCATGCCGATGGGAGGTGGTAAGATAGGAAGAAGCTTCCGATCTGATCTTTTACCTGGAAGTGGTAGGTCACATTTGTGCCGGGCTGGATTGGGCAGTTGGTTCCCGGGACTCCGTCTTGCCACGAGTTCTTCCTTTGCTGAACGCCGTTCCTGTCGAAATCTTATACCGTTAAACATAATGTTTTATTATTATTATTATTATAAAATTTTCATACCTTTTCTTTTTACGGTTAATTGTGAAGATAAAGAGCACAGTGAGTTTTTTTAATATTAAGTTGTCTTTCTAGTTTCTGGTGGTATCAGTAAAATGCGTTAGCGTGCTGCAGATAGACCTTCTGATATTTTAATGTTGAATATACATGACCTATATATAATATAGTAGGCACGGAACACGATGGACAACTCTGTTATTTAACCCTATTTTCTATAACTAGACCACAACGTTTGTGTAGCATACAATATTAGTAACTGACCATGAGAGAAGGAAGGGTTCTTTGAGATCGTTGAAGATGTTGATGACAACATTGTTGTTGGTGGTGGAGTTGATGTTGGGGCCAGGGAACTCGCCGTTGATGAGGATGACTTGTTGAGGGACACCCAACGGCGAAAGAGTACCGTAGGTAATCTTCCAGTCGAAGAAAATGTAAGGATCCTCGGCGTTGGCAATCGCAAGGATCGCCACCAATGCAAGCAAAGCGATAGCGTGGGCGCGCTGCGCCATGACTTGTTGTTCTTTCACACTTTGCTTATAAGCTCTCCCGACGAAGATTGAAAGGTGTGAATAGGGGAGGGGAGGGAGGGCGAGAGAATTTGATGAGAGGGTGACAAGAGAATATGGAAGGCAAAGGCAAAGGCAAGCCTTGGAGCTTTTGCTCTGTCTTCGGAATTGCTAAGGGATTTGACACCAATTTATAAGGGGGAAATGAAATTGCTTGTTCAAAGCTCCTCTCTGGTTCATACATTTTCCCGTACTTTTAGTGATTCAACTTGTAACGGTTTGCCTTGTTTAGATGATTGTTGTGTGTGTTAACGGACATCCTCGTGCGAGAGAATGGTGGTTATTTTTGACTGTTTCCAATCATAGCCAATACTATGACTTAGATATATATACAAATGAGAAACTAATTATATTAACATTTTTAGGGCTACACATGCACCTTCAACTCCTTCGACTTTGATGCATTTTATGATAAGATAAATAAATTATACGTAGCTAATGTTTTATAATACATAAAGTATTGCAAAAAACCTAAAAAGTTTTAAATTTGCGCAAAATACCCTAAAAGTTTTAAAATTATAAAAACTATCCCGACGTCTAAAAACTTAAAATAACAAACATAAAATCAAGAAATTAACAGAAGTTTACGAAGAATTTAAAATTTACGGTTAACATCTCAATATATCAAAAAGTATAGAAACACCCTAAAAAGTTTAAATTACAAACAAGTACCTGAAATTCTAAAATTTTAAAACTTACAAATAACGTAAATGAATTCAAAGGATTATCATAATGCACCTAAAAATTACTAACATTTTAAAACTTAAAACAATAAATATGAAATCAAGAAATTAACAGTAGCATCCGAAGAATTTAAAAATTTTAATTAACACCCTCAATGTCCCAAAAAATTATAGAAACACCCTCAAAAGATTAAATTATAAAAAACAACCCTAAAATTCTAATTTTTTTAAAATTTGCAAACAACAAAAGATGAATTCAAGAGATTACTCTCATACACCTAAACATTTAAAATTTACCGAAATTAACCTCAAAGTTACAAAAGTTGTAGAAAAACTCTTTCAAAAATTAAAAATTATAAAAAACTCTAAAATTTTAAAATTTATAACTAGTACACATAAAATCTAAAAACTATTGGTAGACCGCTAAAATTTAAAATTTTCAAAAATTAATCTACAGTTTTAACAATTACAAAAAATAGCCTTAAAATTTCAATGTTGTAAAAAATATCATGCCATTTAAAAATTACTACCGACACATGAAACATATAAGTTACAACTACCAAACTTAAAAGTAATTTTTTTAAAAATTCTTTTAAAGTTTTAAAAATTATAAATCACACTCTCAAAGCTCAAAACCACAAAAAAGGGCTAAATTTTTAAAACTTGAAAAAGAAAAGTGTAATTGTTAGGCATTCTTTCATTAATATATATATATATATATGATAATGATAAACAAAAGTAATAAGAATTGATTAAAAATATCCAGTTAATGAATAAAAAATTAAAAAATATTATGGCTTAAACATGATTGACACCATATATATTAAAGTAAGTGCATACAATTTTAGTAATAAGTTAGAGAAGCAAAATATATTAGTAACATTAATTGATAGATGTTTAAATCCATAAAAATAATAAAAAACTATAATATAATAGCTTAGCATTAATTTATTATAATTTAAAAACATTAATCTATGATATTAATAATATTTAGAGGATAAAAGAATATAATAAATTACGTATGAAGAAACTATCAGAATATTCAGAGATATCCTTCAAAAGAATCAAGCTATTTCTATTACAAATAGGAAAGTGACGAAAATAAAATTAAAATTTAAAAACGTCCATGAATCATTTGAATTGGCAATAACATAAGGAATATATATTAAAGAAGCACCAACTGAGTTACATTGAAGAATAATTTAATAACTTTATCCCAATTAAAGAAGAGTTTTTCATAAAAGATATAAGAAAAATTAGTAAGCATTCATAAATTTCATACTTTATTCTTCAAATACTAAAAAAATTAAATATTAATATTATAATATAAAGTAAATTGATAATAAAAAATATAGGTATTTAGTTTAGATCTTTGTGGAAAATAATAAGGATAGAGAAAATATAATATTTTTGACATAACAAAAAATCTTATTGGATGTACATCATAAGAATTCATTATAGAGAGAAAAAGTAGCTCCTAATATTATTTAAACTAATAAATTAGGAACACAAAAAAATTGATATATATAAAATTTATATTTATTCTTATTAAAATTAAAATATCAAAGTCTATATTTTAAGAAGTTTGTGTTGAATATCGGAAATACATTTAACTTCTTTGTGAAGCTAAACGACAAGATAAAAGATTAACGAGCCCAGAAAAGATAACAGCACAAAAAATACAACTCTAACATAATTTCACAATCGAGTAGATGATGAAGACACTACTCTAGAATTGCCCAGGAAAAAGATAAAGATGAGAAAGGATTAATCTTAGCTCAATAAAAAAATAAAACAGAAAAATAAAAGATGATATTTTTTAAATATTTAATAGAATAGTTAATTATTTTGAGTGAATTTAGGAATCTTTAGAAGGGAGTTTCATGAGCTTTTTTCAATACTTTTATATGCTTGTACAGATGCTTTTATCATATGAAAGTATACTAGAGTTAGTATTAATATTTAATCTATAATTTTTTTATGAAGACTATCAATGATTAGAAATAAACTTTATATTCTCTTTTGTATCGTTTTAGCATAGTTTTAACCAATTATTTTACCTTATTGGTTTTAAATATTCACCTTCATTGTATAACACTATTTTAATATTTTTTACTTTTGTAATATTGTACTTTCTCAAATAAAGTTTGGTTTCATATCAGTCAAAATAGTATAAAAATTTAAATTAGTTTTACATTATATTTGTTTTCTATCAATTCAAATATTAACATGAAAATTTAAATTGGGTGTAGCCTATTTAAGCAAACATTAAAAAATAAATAAATATATAAATAAATAAATAATCGCAATATTAAANGTGACGTGTTTTGATGATATTGACACTGTTTATTTATTTTTAACTTACTAATATTGATTGATAATTGTTTATTAAAATGTTAATTACTATTAAAAACTTTTGATGAATATAAGGTATTGTTTGTTATTATTATAATCTACGTTATAACTTCATTTTGTAGCAAAAAAAAAAGTCGTAACTTTATTTATGTTTTTAATTATTACTATATAGTACAAGTCCAAAAAAAACTCCACATTTTTCTCTTTTTTTTCTTGTAGATCTTTTCCCCTCATTTCTCAATTATATTTCTTTAGTAAATTATGGGCCTATAATGTCTCTACTTTTAAATTAATTATATAATTATAATATTCGGTAAAAATAAAAAATTTCATATAAAGAAATAAGTAAGAGGAGATGTGATCTAATTTGACGGTGATGCAGAACCCATAACAAGCAAATTCATAAAGAAGTGAGACCTTCATGAGTCAAATGCAAATGCGGATGAATTATTTCCATACCCGCAAAGAAATAACCATATTTCCCAATCTGAAAGACAGATTCTGACATATTACATATAAAAATTACCTATCTCAACGAGATGAAGCCATTGAGATTGATAGATTCCTAAAATTACATTAGTATCATTGGTTTTTAGCAAAATTCAAAAACTAATTAGCATTTAGTTTATTTTACCAATAAATTGGAGTACATTTCGATTAGAAAATAAATTCAATTTTGATGGATGTTGAACTGTTTTGTATCCTATATAATAGGGAGACTTTTTAGGATACGATTTGACACTTTCTAGTTATTAAGAGTCTAGTTTGTTTTTTTATTTAAGAAGAGATATGTAACCCCAAAATTATTAGATAACTTTTCATCAATAAAAAAGTTCTCTTTATTATTCTCTTCGTGAATTCAAATATTATTCTTTGTGGATTCAAAAACCAACCATTGGTGGATTCTAAGGTTTATTACTTACACACTATGTTAGATGACATGGTCTAATGATGGTGATAACCATTGGCGGATGGAGGAAAAAAATATGAAAAACTAAAAATAAGAAAATAAATAGGAGATTTCTATTTTTTGCCATCTTGTTCCAAGCTAAAACTTAGGATAATTTGAGAACTAAAAGTCTCCTTTTTTATAGAGAAATAAAAAAGGTGAGAAAATTTTGTATAATTATCTCAGTTCTAGTTTTGTTACAGTGCTAATTAACTAACAATGTAAATTTTTGTGTTCAAAAAAGGGGGAAACAATGTAAATTTTGGTTCTAGTTTTAGTTCTAGTTAACCAACACCATAAACCTTTTTTCCACAAATTATCCTAGTTCTAGTTTTGAATTCTAATTTTATCATTGGTTATTAATGAGAGTCATGAAGAAAGAAGAACATACCAGTTCTATTTGACAAACACCTCCACCTCATTGTTAAATTTTAATTGAGAGAAAAACAAAAATAGAGCTTTTCAAATTATGTGAATAAACAAAAACCATTTAAAAAAAAATTTCAGGTGCGATTGTAGTTTGTTTTCTGACTTGTTGAACCCTTGAAGATATATCATGACTTCATTAATGCCCGATATTTAAAAAGAAAAAAAAAAGAAAAAAAAGAAATATCATATGAGGTGTTGCTCAAAAACCCTCCATCGACCCAGCACTAAACCCACACGAATACAAAATCAGAAGTAATCGCTGTTTATCTCTTCGTCAGATTCCCGCATTTTCATCTCCCGTTCCAAATTCCTCATCCCAAACACAAAAAAAATCCTATCTTTAATGGAAAAATCACTCACGAGAACAAGGCCTTTGCGGTTGTTATCTTCAATCTAAGATATCCAGCATGATTAGGTATTCTTTCGATTTTCCATATAAATATTTTTTTTATGTTACTGTTGAGACAGTGTCTTTGATTCTTTATATAACTTTATATAGTCGGATGAGAGTTCTGGGGTATATATATATATATGATTAGTATATATATATATATATAATATATATATATATATATTATAATATATAAAAGTGTTTCTAAGGAACGCGCCTATATAATCATCTAAGGGATGCCAGTCTTAAAATCACATGATTGAGCTACATTTAGTGGAGATCCGCTCACGCGTTGAACTTGATCTACATATTTTAAAACCGCCAACACAGCCTAAGTTGAGGTGAAGCGTCGAAGCCATGTGAAAAAGTTTAATTCATTCGAAACGCTTACAAGCATTGATACGAGTGGCATGAAGGGTTCAAACGACGACCGGGTTCACCGCGCCATGAACTTCAGTGTGTTGGGGTTTTAGAATATGTAGATCAAGTTCAACAGAGCGGATCATCCACAATATAGCTCAATCATGTGATTTTAGGTCGCGTCCTTAGATAATTATCTAAGGCGTCACATTAGAATTTTTTTTTCCATATATATATATATATATATATATATATATATATATATATATATATATATTCTTCAATTGTTGTGAGTAAGAAGAAGAGAAAGGGACGAGAGAGATGGGTGATTCCTCTCCTCCATCCCTGACACGGATTTCTCGTAATGTGTCCCACAGATGTAGGTCAAATTTGATCAGCTAAACCACGTAAATTTCGGTGTTCTTCTTCTTCGGACAAAATAAAATTCCCAACAATTACATCGATGCTAAAAACAACATATCATCATTCAACTATTCAAGTGATGTCTTCAAGCTTTAATTTCAAGAATTCTTTTATGGCCTGTTTGGTAACCATAATTTTATTTTAAATACAGTATTTGGCCTAATTGTATTATTTGGATCCAAAAGAATTTGAATTCGGGATATTGACCCAAATCCGGTAACATTTTAATAGTGTACTGGCCCCATAAATCTAAATCCCAACTTGCAGCCCGTCATTTTAATTCCATCTCCCTCTCCATGCTCTCACGTTCTCTCACCTCCCCACTTCCGCTCTCGTGATCTCTCACCCTCCCCACTTCTGCTCTCAACTAGCGGTGGCGATGATGACGACGAGGAGATCCAGTCTCAACACCGGCGGTGGAGGCGGCGGCGGCGACGACGACGATGACAAGATTCACCTGCAAGCCCTAATTTCACCTCCGGCGACGACGGCGATCATCGAAAACGGTGAGAACTTCTTGATCCTCTATCTTTTGTGGATCACGCGAAATTTTTGGACTTGAATTTAGGATAAGGTCAATTGATTGGGGTTATATGATTTTTCGGTTTTCTATTGTTGTCTTGTGTTGATTTCATTTGGGATTTAGCTGTATAATTGGGTTATTGGGAAGCTAGGGTTTTGAAAATTTCGTGGAAATAGTTTAATTTGAGATTTCGGTTGATTTAGAAGCATTGCATGTTGAAAAAAAAACAGGAGTTTCACCCTTGTGCTTTAAATTCGTAGCAGTTGTAAAGAACACAAATGTTACTTATTTCTGACAATGGTATAGCTGTTTCTACTGCAATTGGGGATGAAATTGGGCGTCTTTAAACTTATAGGAAGGTGATCTCATCTAGTTTCTTTGTTGGTAGCTCTTGTTTGGGCTAAGAAATCAAGGGTTTAGCGTGGGTGATTTTGATACTTTATATATAGCTATATACACATTGTAGCTCTTGTTTGATTTTGTCTATAATTATGTACATACTGTTTAAGAATCTTTAAATTTTATTCATTTACAATTTTATATATGGAAGTATATTAATAGAGGATGCCCAGGGGCTCAATTCTAAATGATTTTGGGGTCGACTAGCTTAGTTTGGTATTCCCTGTTTTATAGTTTCAAAGCTGACTTATGTCTTCATTAGCCATCAGTCTTTGGGTAGGTTTTCATTTTCAGCAATAACACAGTCAATCCTGAATCCATATTATGGTCAAAATAGCTTGTGCTCGTAGGAGATGTACCTTGTATTGTAACTGGAGTCTCTTCAGAGGGGTTATCCCTTTAAGTTATCAGGTTTACTTGCATATACGCAGTGGCGGAGCCACGCTAGTTCAAGGTGGTTCCCTTGAACCACCTATATTATTAACTTACAAGCAAACGCCTATATCCAGTTTAAAGTCACTTGCTTCTTTTTTTAACCCAAAGCGGGGGTTTGTACCAATATTATTAAATTTGGATCCACCGATTAAAAACTGGGGTCATAATTTAAAACCCCAAGTATTCTTAAGCCTGCCACTTCTGAAATCATTCTTAACCCGGAAATAACATACTGAACTAATTATTCTGAAACCGAATTCATTACAAGAGGAAAGTGGCTATATGAGTTGACAGTCCAATTTGCGAAATGGCTTGCCAACTCACTTTCATTTGAGCGCTACACCGACATGACTAGCACTAGCAGAGAGCCCACCCTTGTTTCTCCTCTATTTCTTTTTATTCCTATTTATTTCTTGATTTTTCCCCTACGATTAATTGAAAATTTTTTAAGGTTTATTTTGAACCACCCCTCAAGAGGTTGTAGATCCGCCACTGCATATACGACTTTGATCTTTTGTAAAAACGTTGCAGTCAGTAGCTGTTTCACTGTTTAGTGTCAGTCTCAGGTAGCTTCAATTAATTATTCGTAAACTTTGCCTGTACCTCACTTTGGATTCTTGCTTGCATTACTTCTTTTGAAGTGGTATGTCCCAATGTTCAAAAGTTTTTTTTAGCATAACCAACTTAACCTGTACTATCTTTAAAGCTCATGTATAAACAACATATATGATCAGACTATCTTTAAAACTGCTACTTTGGAGTCACTGCATCAATATATTATTAGTTTGTTTAATAGAATTGATTGATTCTAGATTTAAGTATGAAATAAGATTAAAATGCCATAGAATACTTTTTTCATTATGTTTTTTTGCCATATAACAGTTTGTTTAATAGGACTGATTAACCCTTTTGAACAGTGATAGATAGTTGACAGAAATTATGCCTCTCTTTCATCTTATATATTCTAGATTCAAAAAGTGAGTGATGTTCTCATGCTTGCATAGGTAAATTCAGATGCCAAGGCATATCAAAACAAATCTATTGAGAATTGGGATGATATATGTGTGTTAGTGGGCACCGATAGAGCAACTGGGATGATATATGTGTATTGAGAACTTCATGTTTTTTCTTATTCCATTTTAACCATCTTTCCTTCAGTCATTCCTTTGTTTTCTTGCTAAAGAGGTATATATCACCAGTGTAGGGGTGCTGCCATACATGTTCTTGTCATAATAGAGTAAAATTTTAAACACCAAGTTGTCGTCGAATAAACAGTTGTATGTTAATATTTACATGTTAACAAGTTTGATTTTACTCGTGTGTTTTCCTGACATGTGATATTCTTTTATTTGTTGTAATGTGTTCTGTTAAGGTTGTATGTGAACATAGTGATAAACTTCCATGTTTGTCTGTTTAGAATGCTTGAGGTTTTACCTTAAATAAGGACACATAGCTTGTTTAAGGATCCTGTGATGGCTAATACACTTATGGTTTATTAAATCCCCATATGACTAACCTGACCTAATTGAGAATATAATAGCGTGTGCTGTCCTTTTAGAGTGCAATGTCTATGAAGTATGACTAACCTGACCTAATTGAGAATATAATAGCGTGTGCTGTCCTTTTAGAGTGCAATGTCTATGAAGTTCTAATCAAGGGCTTTCATGTGTGCATTAATAGCGTGTGCTGTCCTTTTAGAGTGCAATGTCTATGAAGTTCTAATCAAGGGCTTTCATGTGTGCATTGCATGCCGGTATCCCATTTCATCCTTTCCTACTCTGATGTAATAACCGTGTTATGCAGCTTCAGTTGCAAATAACTTCCTTTGATGTTTCAATAAGAGTTGATGCTTATGTATTACATTGCTTTGGAAATTAGCTTCCGTTAGACATCTATAGGTTCTAGTACTTGTGATATGATCTGAAAGTTTACTTCAACAATACTTTTCTTTCTTTTCGAAGATGGCTGATTGTTGAGTTAACATTTTCCTCTCCTCCTATAGAATAGTGCAGATTCCAGGTTGCATACTGGCAGGGATTTTAGGTGTTATTATTGACGTGCCTATGCTTAGTCTAATAACTATCTACAAGCTTCCTGTCATGTTGCACGGTCTTTAAGAATGGAGCTGCTTTGGTCTTCTTCTTATTGTTTCAGGTAATTCAAGAACTCGCAAAACAAGACCTTCTGAACTGAGGGGAGGAAACTACAAAAGAAATACAAAGTGAAAGTGTGTAAGCATTAGAAAGAAACTCTCATTTGAATCAAATGTAAAAGTCTTAAAGAAACTAGTGCGAGAGCAACTTAAGCATAACACTATGTAACGGCGAAATATTAACTTCTATTGGTTTGTATTTGTTGGATATTTTGGATCTCTAGTTTGTTGAAATGTTATATGTAATATTTAAAGTTTCTACTTTATTTATTGTTTTGGTTAGTGGTGGATGAGTTTACAAAGTTTTATTGATGAATGATTTCGGTTATTTTATGGTGATTATTAGATCAATTATTAACGTTACTATATTTGAGATTTTAAGGTATTTTATCTATATGTCAAGTTAGTTGGATATGTGATATACTATTTGAGGCATTTATTTCCACCAATTTCAATGCAAAACTTATGTAATTTGAGTATTTTATTTCTAAATTATCTTCGAGCTACAATTTTAGTTCAGAAATTAGAATTTTACTAGTTGGCAAACAACTCAATTCAAATTTTTAAAATTAAAATTCTAAAGTTTGCCAAACATGAATTTCAAATTAAAATCTGGAATTCAAATTTGGATGTTTCCCAAACGAATGAATTGAATTTGAAATTATGGATTTTAAATTCCAGATTTCAATTTTGGAATTTGAAATTAGATCCTTGAATCCAAACGCAACCTTAATGTATTGTTAGGTTATGTGGAGTCTAATTTTCAGACCCGGCCCAATTCGCTTAAGTGATCGAATCGTCATTACCCCAACTGTGCGGATCGAACTAATATCCTAGCTATACATGTAATTTTAAGTCCCACTAATACCTTATCTATAAAAGGGTGATTAGGGTGCAGCTTGTTAACTATTCAGAATATAATGGAATTTTACCTGCGGCGAGCCGTGGACATAGCTTCTCTCACCGAGAAATGTACCACGTAAATTCCGTGTGTTCTGTGATTTGTTTTTCCTCTCTTCCCTCTCTCATCTTTATTTCCAAATCGCAACAGAGGTTAGAAAATCCCCAACATGTATGAGATGCAACAAAATTACATAGGTTGGAGGGCTGAGTCCACCACCAAACAAGGCAATGCAATGTTCTTACAGTCTTAATGGCTTAACAAGTCACATTTACAATTACGATTAAGGGGAAAGGTAAAAGAAAAATATTCTTTTCGAAGCTTATGATGATTTCTGGTAGCAATTGGTGGTCACACAGATATCTTAAGTCGGACCTAGTTTATATCCATAGACCAAACAGTATCAAAAGTGGGGGAGAAACAAGAAAAGAGGAAAAGAAGAAAAAGAATGAACATGCGCTACTTGGGCTCAACTTTGGGTGCTAATGTGTATCCTCCGCTGTACTCAAATGCATCGCCGCCGATATCCTTTTTAGGCAAGGAATCATCGTACGGATGTGGAGGAGCTCCCTTTGTGGTATTGAAGTCTGTGGCGGATGATGATGCTGAAGTCGAGCTTGTAGTCAGTCCATCGCTGTGCAATATGCTCTCAATTGCCTTCACAACCTCACTCATCGTCGGACGATCCGCTGCTGATTCCTGCACGCACTTCATCGCTAACTCAACATACCTCGCAAAGCCTACGAGATAGTTGTTATTTCGGAGTAGGGGGTCCATCATCTCCTTTAGGCCGTAGTATTCTTCATCATTCTTATCAATGGAAGCGCTCACCTCACGGACAATGTACTTTCCCCTCTCTATGGGCTGCCTACCCGTTATCATTTCAAGCATCACCACGCCGAAACTGTAAACATCGCTCTTCTCAGTCAGTTGTTGGGTCATGTAATATTCTGGATCTAGATATCCCTGCAAAACAATAAGTATAAACTGTCAGATCCTATCTTTAGTTCTCGCGCAACTCGTTCGTTCGGGTAACCAATCATACATAATATGGGAATGGACAGGGTACGCTACTCACCAGCGTTCCCTTTACTTGGGTAGAAACATGTCCCTTCTCACCGTCTGATACTAACTTTGAGAGTCCAAAATCTGCAACCTTCGCGATTAAATTCTCGTCTAGAAGGATGTTGGTAGATTTGACGTCTCTGTGAATTATTGGAGGATCGGCGAGCTCATGAAGATAAGACAATCCTCTAGCTGAACCTAGAGCGATCCTGAGT